GTGGATTCAAGGTTTTGGGATTCAAGATTTAAAGTGTCCAATCAACCCTGTATCCCCGCGATTTCAAGATAAAGGGGAGAAAGATCAGAGGAGGAATGGCAAGTGCAGCACACAAGTGTCAAGAGAAAAGGAACTGAAAAGTGAGATTCTCCTGGGTTTTTCTCCTCCTACTTTACTGCAAATGTGCCATGGGTGAATCTTCAGCTTGCCTTCTCAGATCGTTTTCTCAACCATCTCAAACTTCCCAAGAATCTCCTGAGGTTTAGTTCAAGAAACCGTCTTTGTTTATTTATTTTACTTGTTTTTCTATCATGAATCGTTAGATAAATTCGTGTGGTTTTGGTTAGGGCCTGTATTTTCCGGTTCCGTGTTAATAGTGCCATGGAGTTATGATAGAATTGCTAATTTTGTTCCGCTGCCGCTTGAATTTGGCAATCATTGGGTCTAATATTTTTCTAATCGTTTTTTGCTGCGTATTGCTGGTCGATTAATTCTTCTGCTCACGGGGTAAATAACGAGTCCTAACTACACAGTCCAAATCCAGAACGCCTCAAATGGTCACTCTAATCCATCAACTTACAGCGTACTGTGTAAATTTTGTGAAAAGTAGGGGTCGATACGCCTAAAAGTTAAATGTTTGGAGAGAAAATATTTGTTCATTATTAAATTAGCAAAGCTGCTCTCTCCTTCAGATTAATAAATTTTTTATCACTAGTATTGAATTCAGAAAGCAGCTTCTCATGCACAATCTGGACCTGTTTTGTAAACTTCTGTTGTACTGGAAGATTACCGTTCCTATGATTTGGTCAAGTGCGGTTGTGGCAGTTATCTAGCTGAATGTTACATTAGCACTTAGGGGAGGTATTTTGAAATTTTGTGTTAGTATATGACTTTTCTTCCATTTTACATATTCCGTTTAATCTCAGTCTTAATTCATTTCACCACCGATAAATTGAACTCTAGAATTCCTTATTCTCAAATTTCTGGATAGTGCAATAGAAATTGGGTAGATTGTAATGCCTGGACACGAGTTCTTGAAATGGATTTGATTATGACTTTGGAAGTTTATTACTTAAAAAGATGAAATGCGTGTACCTGGTTGCAGGGAGATCCTCTTCGCCGTGCCCTCACATCATCAGTTTCATTTGGGAGATTCGTCTCTGAATCATTGGTCTGGGAAAAATGGTCATCTTTCAATCAAAATCGCTACTTGGAAGAAGCTGAGAAGTACTCAAAACCTGGTTCTGTTGCTGAGAAGAAAGCTTACTTTGAAGCCCACTACAAGAAAATTGCAGCCAGGAAAGCTGCTCCATTACTTGAGCAACAAAGCGCAGCTGTTGACAATACTGCTGTGGTAAATATGCTTAATGGGGATCATGATGATTCTCCTCCTACAGAGATGGAGCCAGCACAAGAACATGAGCATGCCAAAATTGAGGAGGTACTGGCAGAAGATACAATCAAAACATCTGTTGTCTTCCCTGTCGATGCAAATCAGCAAACTCTTCCTAAAGAAAGGACTATAGAAAGTACCCAAAGTAAGGAAGTTGAACTAGCAACAGAACATCCTATTTTTGTAGAAAATGAAGTCGAGACATCAAACCAATTTCAAGTTTCCATGAACAGTCATGATAACATAGAGGTGAAGACACACTCCGAGGTAATTGTACTAAACTTACTAGCTTCCGGTTACATACTGAATTAGCTCTTTTCCTTCTTCCATATCTAATATTAATCTTTTAGGATGCTTGTATTATGGGAGATTCAGCTTCGTCAGAGAAGAAGGAAGCTGCACTTTCTTCTGGAAAGTTGTCAAAACATGATAAAAAATCAAAGACTCAATCATTCACCAAGTCAAAAATACCAATTTATCCAACAAAAGATGGGTATCTCAGTACCTCTAAAAAGACAGAAAATCAATCTTTGGAGAGGAAGAGATCAACTCCGAAATCACTTCACATGTCAATAAACTTTACTTCTCATGCTTATGATCTCAATAAAATATCATCTCCAGCATCGAAGAAGAATGTTGACTCAAGGCTATTCAAAGGTGTTGCCCAGACATCCAAAGAGAGCTCAAATCAACGAACATCAACCAGGGTGCCTAAGTTTTGCCAGTCTTCTAATGACATTTCTTACTATGATTGTTAGTTTCGATAGTCCATGATATTGTCTTCTTTTATTTTCTTCCAAGTGCAGGCGTCTGTCAGTGGAATTTCTAAGCGTCTATCAGCTGTTCCTCAGTTAAACAAGGAAAGGTAATAGCCTGCATAGTTTCCATAAAATCAAGTATAATTCAAAAAATATATAAGAGGTCCTACTCTGTTTGCTTAGATTATTGTGTGCCGTCTGTAATTTACTCTTAACAGGACTAATGCTCTACTGGATCAGTCAGTCTCTTGTAGCACTTCAAGAGACAGGATACCAAAATCACCATTGGTGCAGTAAGTATTATTTGCTAGTTGTTCCCTTTTTCTAATATTTAATGCTGTGTATATTTAGACTGGGTGAAGAGTAGGGGATATCTACGAGATGAATACAGGATTGTTCTCAGTTGATTATTTTACTTGATTATAGATTCTGATTTTGAAAAATCTGTTTTTAAGATGTTTTCATTTGCTTTTGTATTCAGATAATAGATTTTTTAATAACCAAAAAATCCAAAATCCGTAATCACCCAAAGAGTAAATTTTTGTTGATTCTAATTATTCTCTGTAATTACTTTCCGTAATTAAATTTTGCAAAATCTAATAAAGTAAATGAGAACAAGGTCTATATTTGGATTTAAGGCTACATATCATGCATCCTATAATGTTTAGTATCAATTATGAACCCTGCTGTACCTTTTCTACTCTGCATTCATGCTGATTTCAGAAAACTTTATCTTTCTACATTTTTAAGCGATAACTTTTCTGATCTCAAGTATCCATCCTATTTTGTTGTTTTTATATGCTGATAAGCCACAAGACATGTTCAAGTTTAATGAATTTGCAACTACAGTGTCACTAGTTTACCTTGGTAAGAGCTTTTATGTTCTTTATTGAACTGTTCACAGCATTTCAAAATCTAAGCTTACACCTGAAAGCAAAGCGCAACCTCCTGCTGCATCTTCTTCCTTCAGCTTAAGGAGTGAAGAAAGGGCTTCTAAACGTAAAGAGGCAAAGTCTAAGACTCAGTTTCAATCGAATCTTTTCTTCTCCTTTAATTTAGTTTCTTTAATTGTTCTATTTTTTCTGATTACTTGTTCATTTGCTCACTCGCTACTTCAGTTCTTCCAGAAGCTAGAGCTGAAACTGAATATGACGGAAGCCAAAGAGGAACGACACCAATCGAAACATAAGGTTTTATGCTGATCTATCTGGTTGTTCCAATAATATACAACAGTAACATAGGATGCTTTGAGGATTTAGATGCAAATCTGTCAATTATTTCCTGATGATGCCAAGAATCATATATATGGCTAATCATCAGAAATAGAGCTTTTGGCTTGATAAATTGTCTAGCTTATTAGCCAAATTTGAGAGAGTAATATGATTAGTTCAAAGGACATTGGAATTACCTTGTTTTACCTTTGCAGGGGAAAATAGTCAATGATACCATCAACATGTGCTGGTCTATTTCCTCTAAAATGGATGCAAATGCCAACTTGCCTTTGGGGAAAAAATCAGCTGGTATTGCCATGAACAAGGTATTTATGTTCTATATGTGACGGCAGTTGTTGCATGTAGTCTAGGTGGAAAGTTGTTACGAATTATCTCATCCTGAGAACTAGAACCTCCCACTTTGTTTGTGCTTTGTGAGTGAGAAATAGGTGATTGGTGACCATTATTATCTTTGCAGAAATCAATCTTGTCATGCTCACCAAAAATTGAAAGGAAGCAAGCATCATTTGAAGCGCACAATAACAGTTCTAGACCACCTTGGAGACTCTCAACGAAGACTGGTGGCTTCAGAGATGCTGCAATAAAGAACCCCTGGCCTCTAGCGTATTCTGCAAAATCTGTTACAAAAAAGACTATGCATGAGAATACTTCTCCAAATATCCAGCTTTAACTGCAAAAGCGGCTCCAATACTTGTGCATCTTGAAGATTGATTAGCGGAGCATAGTTTGCACCCTGGAGCTACACTTTTCTTTTTTCTAAACCAAAGGCAATTGCGAGTAATCTGTTGCTTGTACAATATTAAGTGGTTGCATTCGACATAAGATGTTCAATTTGTGGAAATGTGGCATTTTTCTGGGGATGTTAGCCGTGAACAATACTAAAACTCTAGTATTACGTAGATGTTTATAATACGAGATAAATTGCCAGACAAATTGCCTCTCTTCTTCTTCGCATTGGGCGACTCACAGTCCTCTTTCCCTGTCTTGTTTTATTTTGACACCGGATGGGAGGTTCCTACAATTATGCTTGCCCTTAGGGCAGGAACAGAAATCTACTTCTGAAGTTAGTTCAGAAGTCCTTTTGCTTTTTGTAAACTGTCCCTTTTTCCTCAGAAGTCCTTTTGCTTTTTTAAACTGTCCCCCCCCCCCCTCCCCCTTTTAAGGCATCAATAGAGCAAAATTAACCGTATGGAAGCTGAATTCTGTCAATAATTCGAGGGGATCAGCCAAGTTAAAAGTCAAGCATATGGTCACTGAAGCATTACACTAATTAGAGGAAGAGGAAGCTGGTTTTGGGGCCAGTAGAGAGGTGGAGTCCTAATTTGGATTTGGAAGTCCTTAAGATAGATTTTGCAATCTCTCCTCTTCCCCTCTGTTACCAAAGTTGAAAATCAAACATATGGTGCGACAGGATTACACTAATTATATCAAGCTGGTTTTGGGGCAGGCAGAGAGGTGGAGTCCTAGTTTGGATTTGAAAGTCCTTAGGATAGATTTTGAAATCTCTCCTCTTCCCCTCCGTGACCAAGAAATTGTTGTGCTGAATTATACGCATGCTAACCAAGTAAGAATTGCGGGTTTACGAGCAATGAAAGATGCTCAAGTGTTTCCCTAAAATTGAAAGAAGCGTAAGCTTTGTTATGCATGATATACTACCAATATCATAATACGATGGATCGACATCATGTTCATCAAATTGGGCAGGAGGCTTTTACACTCCAGTTAAATTTCAAGGCGCTTTACACGCCAGTGCACTAGATCGGCAAGAGCAATACAGCATTCTTCTTACAAGATGAGGTGCCTTGAGTTCAGATCACACTATGAATAGTCCTTGATCTATGACTGGATATTCCATTGAATCAAAAGGATACTCAGAGTCAAACTTCAGTGAATCGTACAAGAAGGTTGGAACTTCAGTAGTGAGCTCTGGTTCACTGTAGTTAAGAAATTCTATACCCTGAGGACCAGTACTCACCGGTTGAAAATCACCTTGAAGGGAGCCACTATGGACATTCTCATCCCAAGATGTATAATCTGTTCCACTAGCAAAATTTAGGCTTCTCCCTGCAGATTCCATGCCACCTTCAAGAATCTCATCCAAGCTATGGTTGTTCATGCTCCACACAGCACTTTGCGTTGGCTTAAAAGCTTGATTGTTTGTTAATTTGCTCCCCGGTTGAGCAGAGAAAAGGTCAGCATCGCATCCTGCAGGAGACAACTGTTCAATTCCCTGGCTTCTATTCTTCACGTAGGCAGGCTTCATTTCAGCCTCTGCTAGTTTATCTCTATCGATGCTAGAAGGTCTAGAATTTGGAGAGGAACTGGGTTGTACACAATCGAGTTGGATATTTTCGGGAAGACAAGTCGGTGGCAAAGTATTAAACCCCCTCTTTGGCTGGAAATGTGGCTTGCGTTCTCGACTGAATTGAGCTTGTGAGGTTTCTTCATTCCAGGGATACTGTTTGGGGATCACAGCAGCAAATTCCAAATCTGAATCAAATTGGCCAAAAGAGTGATTGAGGCTCATCTTTTTACTGCTGCTCTTTTGAGGATAAGAACTCTCTCCATCTATAGCTTTCTTGGGCTCTTCCATTGGCTTTGGAACCGTACACTTCAGATCTGCCTCGTGCATTTTCAAATCAACATTTTGAATCATGTTCTTGTTTCCCTGAATATTATAACTGCCACTTGCAAGATCACACTGTTGCTTATTGACTAAATCATGAAGGCAGTGATTGCCGTTAGGTTCCTTTGCAGAGATATCTGAGTCTTTCATCCCTCCAAAGGAGGTTGTTAGCTCTTTCTCTTTCTGCAATCTTCCAAGGTAAAGCCGATACTTCTGAACAATGATGAGTATCTCCATGAGAACATTTTTAACATGGCTGTGCAACTTAAATATCCACTTCAAGTTTTCATTTCAAATAACTACCAGAAGGCAACTCACATAGAACAGACAAATAATGCAGATAAAAACCTTTTACATGATGCATCCAGGATGAGATAAAGGTCAAATGTTGTGGAGAGAAAAACTAATGCTAATTTGTAGATGGCATGAAAAGGTTCTCTCTTGTGAAACATGGAAAACGTGGCCAAGGGAACCATATTCTTCACTACCATTAGTAGCAGCTTTGAGACTGTTTACCTGTAAGTGGCTGGCTACATTTTCTCTTGTTAACCATGGAACACCCATTAAGTCTAGTATTTTCTTGGGACCAACTTCTGTAAAACACAAACCAAAATCATTGTTCCTAATGCAGTCAAGCAGAAGTCATCACAAAAGATTAGGCTAATGTATAAATGGGCTATGACTTTCTTGGAAAAATAGAAGTGTTGCTAACTTACTATCAAAACCAATCTGATTCACAGCTTTGACAAATTTCTGATGAAGGTCTACCGTCCAAACTACTCTAGCTTTCTTAACAGATGAAGGATCATTGCATTCTCTGTCGTCATGCTTTTCAGCTTCTTTTCTTTTTTTCCCTGAAAATGAATCAATTCCAGAAGGCAAGTGTCTGTCCTCAGACAGATCAGAGCCATTTTTCATCAAATGGATTTCGTCAATGCCTTCATGAAATTCAATATCTCTGACCTCGTGTATCCTTTTTCTGAAGACATGCTGCCATATGTTTCGAAGTTCTTTCATTCTTATTGGCTTAAGAAGATAATCACATGCACCATGTTGGACACCTTTCATCACCCTGCTTGTTTCTCCATCAACAGACATCACTGTGAATTCCATAAAACAGTATAAGTATTAGCATTTTAAATCGACAACATATAAATAGAACAAAGTTCCAAATATCAATGACAGAAAATTGACTTATGACAGGAAGATCCATTTCCAGTCCAACATGCTCCAGAAGCTTAAAACCATCCATGTCAGGCATGTTAACATCACTGATAACAATGTCGAATCCATCTTTTCTTTCTCGAAGCAGGTTCAAGGCATCTCTTGCTAGCCCACATGTTGTCACTGAAACACAAGCAGATAGTGGACCAGGAATTACAAAGTAATTGCAGTATTCTTCATGCAAAATTACAAAATTTAGTTGTTTATACAATCACAAGGAATGAGGTGTAAGATGGCATAATCCAAGAACCTCAACAGCAATAGTCTGATTACTGCAGAAGAAAGAGGAATAAAGCAATTGAAAATCATATTTAGGCCGCCTAAGCATTTCCATGCTAAAACATAAGGTTTAGATCTTGATCTCGGTAATGATTCTATCACCAGTTAAAAGGGCTCCCCCAAAATGCTGCACATAAGGAAATCAACTTCCAAAGACAATATACTTTCCATTGTGCACTAACTGATATAGAGACACTCATCGGAATAGAAATATGATGCAGAATAATCTCACTAGAACTCAAATCCAATTGTAATGGAGAAGCACCTCTTAAACAATTTCCAAAACCTCGTTCAGAACCATTGCAGGCTATGGATTGCAGGCTTAGATTTGGTCACAGAAGAGGCACACTAGTTGGTTTAAAATAAAAATTCAACAGAACAAGAATTAAAGGACAGAATTCCTGGTTTGCCGGTACATTGAAGTTGAATTAAGCACAAAATTTATCCTATCAATTATTACTGTTTCTCTTATTGTATTCTTTTTCTATCTTTGACATTTTTTAAGATATTTTTCTGGTGAATGCGTGATGGATTATAAAATATGCTGCTGAATGCAAGAAAAGGACTCTGCAGGGGAACCCATAAAGTATGTTATTTGAAACTCCCCAAATTTAGTAAAGGAATCTGGTGGTCAGGCATTATTGCAATATACTATCTGCATTAAGGTTTTCTGTTGGCAAAAACCGATGTTGGTTTCTCCAGTGGCACCATGAAACATCTTAATCTTCACAAGAAAGACAAATATGTGAAAATATGCTGTGCATCACAACTAACTATAGAGAAGTTTGAATGCGACCTTGACTTGGCAGAGGATCTGGATCTAGGATCTAGGTCTCGGCTTCCTCATTGTTTAAACAAGAATGTGTTTATATGAGTGCTTGGATTGTATAAAGTAGCACAAAGGCTTCAGTTAAATACAGTTTCAATATGTGCAGAAGGAATACAGACTCTCATTGCAGTCCCCTGCATGATTGACAATAAATCAGCAGTATCTGTTGATATTCAGCCAGGCAGCCTTCTGATGCTAGTCAGATTGCACTAAAACAATGACACTGGGATTCCTTATCATCAAAGTAAAGTTGGCTTCTATTGACGGCAAAAAGTTGCTTAAATCCCTATCTTGGAACATAGCAAATTATTATCTTTATTACGGATAAATCATCGAACTATGTGCTAGGCTAAACAAGATCTTCATAAGACACTTTGAACCTCAACATCAATCATCTCTCTCAGCTTTTCCACCAACAAATGATTGTAATATACACGTATCTAAAATTCAAAGCTTAAATACCACTAGCTTGTAAAGGAATAATACTACATATATGCTTAGCATCTTCTGGTCTGAAAACCATCAATCACTATTTCATGAACGGTATCTATTTGCAGCTTGGGATTTCACTTCAATTAATACATCACAAGAACTTCTGTTAATAAATTTAGCTTTAAACTTTAACTCCCATATAGAGGACTACTTCACAGGGAAAGTCTAGAAATGATTTATCTTGTTATCAAATTGAAGCATTTAAGTGACTCAACCAGAAAACTAAATTTGCGGGTCTAGTGTCTTTTCACCAAATAAATAAGTAAATAGCAGTTATTCATGAAGTCAGAAGAACAAAAAAACTCTCTGTAGCGTAGCAAATGAAGGAGGAATCAAGAATAAAGATTATATATTTCATATTTCTTCCGATCATGATACGAAATTCCAGATCAAGAAGTACCTTAATCGCTGTTACTTTCAGAGGAAGAATTATAGAAGTCACATAAACTGAGAAAGAGATAAACCAGCTTTTGAAGTATAAACCTCAATAGGCTATACGTTTAGTAGTTCGATAGTTATAATGGTTAGTTACACAAAGCAGAGAGACTATCATCAAATAATCCCATAAAACACTTTAGTACCAAGAAAGGACACAATATAGATAGATCCTACATACACGTGCTTTTAAATCAGCTCTAACACAGAAATGTCCAAGGAACAGACTGCTATCAGCCCAAAACATAAAAAATCATGCTTAAAAACAACAGCTCATGAGACCAGAAATGAGGAAAATGAGATGATATAGAGTATGATTTTACAAAATCACAGACAATAAGTCAAAGTAAACTCGAGGGTAATGGTTAAACGAAACCAAAACCTTCGTAGGAACACTTCTTGAGCATTTTCTCAAGAATTTTGAGCCAAGTAGGATCATCATCGACCACGAGAACCCGCAGACCTGCAGGAAAGGCATCACTTCTTGGAGAGGAAAACCCGGTATTCTCGGTAATCATCATCAAGAATTGGCTCCTCCGGATGTTCAAAAATTTCAGTGGAAACGCAAGGCTTAAAAGCTAGGAGGGGGGAATCATGGGAATTTAACGAAAGTGGATGTATTATCGGCTAGATAATTGTTATAAATAGGTGGAAGTGAGAGAGATTAAAATGGAAAGAATGATGTGGTTCTCTCAAGGGAAGAAGAGAACACAACGAATATTGGCGCCGGCTATTGCTTGCTGCCAACGGTCCCAGAGTACTTCCCAGTGGAGTGGACACCACAATTTTTTTTTGTTTCACTGGTTATTTTTAGTTAAGTGTGTTTTTATGAATATTTTTAGCTGCATTGTTTTTTTTTTGTTCTTTCATAAGCATTGCATATTTGTGAGATACAAACGCGGTTAAAAACTACTTCCTGGAAATGGTCTGCTATTTAATAAAAGCTCCATTAGAACATCTTTCAATGACCAACAAATTTCTTTGTTTTCTAACTTTGGTTCTTTGGGGGTGTGAGGTGGAGAATGGGGAGGGGAGGATTTAGGAGGGTACTAAAATGTAATGATTTCCTCTAGGGTGTAGTAACTTTTTGATCTAAAACATAAGATTAATATTTATATATATGTGATGCATCTAATCTCGCTAGTGTACATATTATTTTATTAGTGTATGAATCTCTCATAATACTCAGTTAAGGGGACGGAATGTAAGGCAATGTATTTCCTTCTCTCTCTGTCTCTCTTTATTCCGTAAGTAAAAAATTAATGCATTTTGGATCGAAATTAATGAAGGGACAAAATAAACGAGGATATGACAATTAAGTTTTAAAGGTTACCTAATATAAGAATGCCGTTTATGGCATTGCACCAAGAGTTTGATAAAGGAATAAATTTAATGCCATATCGCATCTGATAGGCAATGAGGATACGCGTTTGATTCTACTAGGACTTAAAAGGCGGAGTTTGAGCTGACATAAACCATCAAGAAGCTAAAATCTTATAGAGTTTTAAGGTTAAATGAAAGGGTTTTTCTAATGAGTGCCGTGTGAGTATTCGTTAATACATTATATTTCATCCGACCTATCACGTATATACACACACTAATAATAATTATTGCTTTTTCTTATTATTCCTTTTGTATAAAAGCGTTTATACACTTTCCCTAATTATTCCCTTTGCATTTATACGCTTTTTCCAACTAATTTTATATTTTTAAAGATCTAACACCTAAAATACATCTTAAGGAGTGTCAATAGGGCACCCACTAGACAGACCATAAATGAAAATATATAGAACAATTACATTTCCTTGTCCTGGAATTAATCAATTGGAAATCCACATTATCACGTCGTGCATGAATTGTAAGAATATATATATATATGTGATGATTTATTCCTCCCAATAGGTGAGAGAGGTTTATTCTGAGCTAGGAGGCCTAACTTAGTGCATTTCTTGAACATATGAACTGTGAAACACCACCATCTCCTTCTGAATCCTCATCGTCAACATTAACCTCGCATAAAACTATGTTAGTAATCAGAGTCATAAAACTATTATGTTTGGAATTATGTTCCCCACTATCCGTCGATGGCCCCGCACTCAAAACTCCTACATGCTTATGCCTTGATCTATCAGTATAAGACAGAAAATTATGATCAAGATTAAGGGGATTAAATGGCATGTGGGCCTAAATTTAGTATTTTTTTTCAAGAAAAAACATCCCCTCAAAAGGTGTAGTAACAAGAAGACAAGCATCCATCTCGAGCTAGCAATTCGTATCCTAGTCATTTTATCCACGTCTTAGCAAGAAAGTTCACGGCAAAAAAAATGTTGTGTTAATTAATGCCTTGTGGACATAGCATTGGCCAAGACGAAAGAAGCTGGCAAGATAAAGTGCTAAATCTCATATAAGCGACAAAGATGTTCAACCTCAAGCTACAATCATCAAGCAATTTCTCATGAGAAAATTCAAAATCATTGATACAGCTTCGCAAGAGAAATTGCATGCCATGCTATTTATGTTTAGAAGTTTTAAGAGTGTAAATTTAAGAAGTTATTATGTTAGTTGGTTTCATACTTTCATGTCGGAAAAAGCACTCCGGAAAAGTGTATTAACAAGAAGACAAGCGCCCGTTTTTAGTAGTAATTCATATCCCAGACATTTTATCCAATTGTTAACCGGAAAGGTGACAGTCCAAAAGAGATGAAGTTATTATAATCCCCTGTAGATTTAACCTTGACCATGAAGATATCGAGACAAGTATTCATCAGCATCCAATCCGAGTTAAGCTTTTTCTACTCTCAAGTCTCAAACAAACTGCTGCTGCTGCTGCTGCTTAGTTAAGTCAAACCATAAAGATCCTTTCTTTGCTTTGGTGCAAAACCACAAACATCCATAGACTAACTTGAGAAGATGGTCGGTCAAACTAGAGACTTCCTTTTTGTACATGCTTTTGAGAAAATTATGCTTGCTTGATTAAAGTTCAAATACATTAATTTGATCAAGGAAATCGAGATCACATGCTAGTGGTGGATGAATCTCGCATACCTTACCCGGCTATTAAAGCCGTTTTACCCAAATTATGCATGCTTCTTCTAGATAATAATCATTTAACCAAAAAGTTGCTTTGGCAAGGGTAGAGGAGGCCGCCTAGAGCCCAGGTGGCCGCAGAGCTATCGTACTTTTTGGCCGGAGAAAGGGTTTTGAAGAACGAATGGTTCATGAGAAAGAAAAGAAAAGCCCTTTTCGTCGTCCCTTTACATTTCACCAAATTCCTTGACTTCTTTTTTTAACGAGCCAATTATTGATTACCAGTTGTAAACCTCAATCACTTCAAAGCTTTCATGGGTAGAGCCAAGAAAGAAAAGAAAAAAAAACACACAGTAACTTAATTGGCTAGATCCCCTCAATCATGATTGTATGGGTTGAAAGCGCCTTGTACTGGTGTACTTGTAATTGAGGCCAGGCTCATTCACTCAAATATTCTTTGTTTTATGCGTTATGTGCTTCCGTGCTAAGTATGGCAACACATGCAATCACGAGACGGAGCCCCCACCTTACCGCATTCACCCTGACAAATCAAAAAACGGAGTTTAAAGATTTTCCTACTTTCCTATTTCAATGTAAGCAGCAGCAGCCGAGCACAACGCATCCCTGATCCCTGGCCGGTTACTTTAGAGACCTTCCTTACTTTCTTTGTGTTGCTGTCTCCATATTCCCGGAGCGCGACTTTCACAATCTGGAAACCTCTTTTTTTTTTTGTTTAACAATTATCCTTTTTTTGGCCAACTTGAAAGTAATCGAGAGATTCCTTAATTAACTTATTCATCCATCCATTTCAATGCGTTTCCTTTGCATCTTTAAAGGTCGTCAGACACATATAGCTATTAGCAGTGGCATCGAAACCTCATTCATTATTATTTGAGCATATCATAATTCATTCAGTGCCCATGCATATGCTGTACATGCAAGCTGTTTAGTTACTTGGTGGCCAGAAATTTCTTGATTATCAATCATGGAACGGTGGTAAAATTCATGGGGGCAACAACCAATTGGATACTGAGTTGGGTCACGATAAAGGGTGTCAGGGACTCAACACGGACTGACACAGTTGATTGAGTTGAGTTGAGTCCACCATGATGATGTGCAGTGCAGAGACAGAGAGAAAGAGAGAGGAGACTGAGAGGGCCTCGGAGGCAAGGTGTCATCTCCTCGAAACATTTACTTTTCTTTTCAATCTTTTCAACAAAACGAAAGGGAGGGGAGGGAAAAAAGCCTTTAGCAGGGGCTGCCTCCAATATGCTTGCAGTTGTAAAGTAGTAATCCACTTTAATTTTTGGAGTAGCGGTACCACGCATGGTGGGACCGATTATGACACGATTTAACACTAATTAAGTAAGTAGAGCTGAATTTGTTTTGTTCATTAGTGGACATGCCAGGCGATTAACTAATGCATTCTCAACTGTTGTGACTCGTGAGTTGATGTTCTGCACCCTGATGCGTCCTAATCTGCATCGCAAAAAATAAAATAAATCCACAGTGCAACCACAAAAAAAAAAAAAGATGGCTTAGATACAGGACCAGCGGCGTGGGAGAGATTATTTGTGTTACTAGTCCTTTGGCTTGGTGGTCACTACAAAGCACTTTAAATCTTGGTGGTGTTTGCCACCAAATTGCCGTTATATGTGATTTTTTTTGATGGAGTTTCTATTCCCATCTACTCCACTTCCCTCTAGATTATGATAGATTAGCTTATAAGAAAATATATTACTATTGTGACAAAAAAACAAAAAAAAAAAAAAGTAGGAGAGACTGGTCTTGAGTCAACTTTTGTACCCGTATGAATTAGGTCCCAGACTTATGAGAAAATTTCAACGTGGAGTTTTCAGTTTTTACGTTTTGAGAGTGGGGCAGAAGGGGGAGCTGTGATCTGAAAAGCCACTTGTTAATGGCTATAAAAGGGAAATGCCCACTAACAAGTGCCCCTTTACGTTAAAAAAAGACAACTATTTGGTGAACCCAAAAAAAAGAAAGAAGAAGAAGAAGAAAATGAAGATGAGACGATGAGCATGATTGGTTATTAACAATTTGGGAGGATGAACTCCTTTCAAGTGGACTCCTCCTTTTCTTTAATTTTATCAAAAGCAAGAATTTTTGCATCCCCAAACTTAGGTCTTAGGCCTTTTTTTCTAATCTTCCTTCCTCTCGCTCTTGCGACGCTCGCTCGTGTTATTTTCCTTGCCTATTTATTCTTCTCAATCCTTCCCTAAGGGGGGGGGGGGGGGGGTTTTTTTAGTCCCTAGTTACCGCAAGCACATAATTTGATTCTCAATGGCAACACCATCACTATTTATTCCAACACAAGAATATGCGACGGAATGAAGAGTGAGAGATGCGGTCTCTCTCCAAAGTGAAACTTTCTGCTCTTCTCTTGGCTGCGTTTGGTTCTTCGGCTCTTCATCAAAATCGAAATTGCCAATTTTTTTTAAAAAAAGAAAAACATCGATGTGGAGGTTCGAAAGGGACTCCTCTTCTTCTTCTATTATATGTATTTATATTTAAGTGTCATCAAACAAAGACTATTGGAGTTGGAGGGGTATGCGGCAGTGCGAGAGCGACGTCTTTCAAAGCATCATTACGTGCATCTCGGCCCCGCTGCTGTCTTTTTTTTGCCCTTTATTTTACCTGCAGACGTTGACGGTTCAAAGAAGAACCAAACCAAACCAACCAACCAACCATGGACTGGAGTGGATTAATTTAGGATGGGTTCTAAACTCCTGTAGTATGTTGGAAATTAAATTTTTTTGAATTCATAACAAGAAAATTTTCAAAATTTTTTTTTAAAATTTATTTTCAAAAAGGTTGGGGTTAAATTTTTAATGCGGGTTTTCTCATGTATCCACTTTGTGTTCTATTTTTTGAGCCGTATGTCAACTGTCATCTCCAATTACGGCCAATTACGGACAAGGGGCACAAATGGTTTCAGATGCAACCGTTTGTGGCAGTTTGTACATTTTCCAACAGCGCGTAACATTTGTTGCATGTCGCGTAACTTTTTTTACACACGGAATAACTTTAGAATAAATTTTTGTGAATCCCACACATAGCGTGAAAATCGAGTTACATGCTGTAATCTGAATCGCACAAATTTTTGAGGCCACATGGTGACCGTGAAGCTTCAGGAGGAACGGTTGTCTCTGTAATCTGACAACAGTTCCTGCCCCGTTTCCTCCAATTACAACTGTTACTAACTTTCCATTTTCGTCGTCTTATACAGCTGGCCAAATTTGAGGAGTTGATGGATGCAAAATGTTAGTCTTTTCCTGTCGTCGTCCGTACACCTACTTCATGCTAAATTATTACACTACATAATTCCACACATTCCCGTCAGCCACCATTAAAATACATTTCAGATGTTATATTTTTAAATGGGCAAAAAATCTCAACGGCCACTAAACTATTGGTTAGATCATGTTTTACCCATCAAACTATTTTTCGTTAGTAATTGGCCACTAAACAACTTAATCAGTAAATCCGTGACCATTTAGTCGATAATTGCTTTTAATTTGTGAAATTAGCTATACATGTGGCAAAATTCAGGGTAATTTTGTCCAACAATTAAGCGACCCTATTTCATAGATTAATTGCTAATTTTATAGATTAAGAGCAATTATCGACTAAATGGTCACAAGTTTACTGATTAAGTTGTTTAGTGGCCAATTACTGACGAAAAATAGTTTGATGGCCAAAACATGATCCGACCAATAGTTTAGTGGCCGCTGAGATTTTTTACCCTTTTTAAATATATAAAAATTAATTTAAAAAATAAATAAATATAAAAAAAAGATAATATTAAATAAAAAATATATATATAAGAGAAGATAATAATTATTAATATAAATAAATAGTACTTTTGCAAAAAAAACTAGCACCAAAAACCCCTCTCAATTAGCCAAACCTATAGATGAATTGGACCTTTTACTTATTTAAGCATAGATGATAAATTAACGATACCATGTTGCCCTTGGAGTAATTAAGTTATAGAGAGAGGGGAGGATTGGGTTGGATGTTAAGGTGGAAAGAATTGTAAGTAAAAGATTTGAGTTTAAAACTTCTCGTGTACAAATAAAAAAAAAGTCGTAGAGAGAAAGAAGAAAAAAAATAAAATAAAAAAGAAAAGAAAAAGAAGAAGAAGGAGAAGAAAGTGAGCATTCAAACCCAAAATAATCATTGGCCTCGTGTGGATCTTTTCACAGTGTTCACTTAAACGGGCTACAGATAGATAGGTAGATAGATACTTCCCTCCATTTTGGCCCTTTAGTTATGGTTTCATCTCGTTTCACAAATTCGGCGGTCTATATGTGCTCTTGATGCAATACTCCCATAGATAGGGATACATATATATATATATATGGACCAAAGCCACATACAGATCTGACTGAGCCTGATATGACTGCATCCTTTTTTTTTTTTTTTGGGTCTTCCATAAATCGACCATCCAACAAGAAAAAGGCCAAAAAAAGGCGAAGACACTACTTACAAGTCTATAACACTACTGGCAGAGAAACGGAGGATGTTTTTGGCACGGTCACAAGTCCATCTCTATTCTCTACCAGCCGCACGCTTCTCACTGAAGATGATGATGATAGTAGTAAAATTAGCACTACTGAGCGCTTGTTTCAGAATTTAATGTCAAAAAGTTTTTCATTGTATCCATGCAGCAGCAGCAGCAGCCACAATATTCCTTGACCAAAGTAGCACTAACGCATGATCTTTCAATTCTTATACTGTTTTGTCAGGTCCACATGCCGAGCAAAGCGAATGCATTTCCCAATATGTATCATTCACTTTCCAGAATCAGGTAAAATGATTACGGGGATGAGACAACAAGGATGATTTATTGTCTACTCGTTCATTCTTCCAAACATATGTTTTCGAGTGCCACACGTCAACTGCAACAGGTCATAGCACCACAAACCAATTGAGGTCAACTAATTCATTGCTGACTCACAGTAGTATCTTTTCATGTTTTTGGCTGTCAATTAGTCTATGGTGCAAGGCCTCAGGCTTTGAGCTGAGATGCTCCAAACTCAATATAGCAAGCGGCAGTAAATTCAAACTGCGCATTCATCAGGAGATGAAGTCCGCTTCTCTGTGAGTTAAACCATGTAATCAAAAGACAGATAACCGTTGTCCGGCACCGTCACCGGGAGTGGCAGTTTCTCCATGTAAAGGTAGAACTGCCTCAAATTCTCTTTTGCAAGGGTAATGGTATCCACAACATCACAGTTGCCCATCAGAATCCACAAGTCTCCAGAGCTCACTCTCTTCAAGCTGCCCCGGCAAAAAGGGCAGGATGGAGATCGAACCAACCTAAGTCGAGAATAGAAATGAGTGAATTTTGTCGGCAATTTCTTTTCCAAAGCATAATGGAAATTTGAGAATCGTACGATAGACACATGGAGTGGCCACAATAGGGCAAGACAACCTGGGAACCTGTTTCCAAGCATATGCCACATTCATCGTCTCTTTGTGGACCTTTATGAGTTGCTTCCGTCTCCTCATCGCTTAAGACGTCAGAGCATTGCGCTCTTTTGTACCTGTCCTCCATCAATTCCTTCAAAGCTCCCTCAAGTTGCTTCAAGGAGGGATAAATAACAGCTGGAACAATTTGCAATGCGGGTTAGGTTGTATTAGATGAATTTGAGGGGTAGTCAAGTAAGATATGAATTGTGGAAGAAATGAAAGAATAAAGACCATAGAATTCTCTCAAGCTGGCTCTCCTCTCTTGTGAGGATATCTTTGGCATACCATCCACATATACCTGAACATCAAATTACAGAGGATATTTTTCAGATTCTTATGGTGAGATTGAAGAGCGTGAGAAAATGAGCTTGAAGATTATCCGGGAAACAGAGAACTTGTCAATGACATTTAGAGGTAACCGTAATTAATTAAGAATATGAACCTCACCTTATACACAAGTATGTGAAAGAGGCCTAAACACCTTGGTAGGCAGTCCATCCACTCTGTCAGAAAAAGCAGCAACGCAGCAAGAGGGCTGTACGAGACTTTCATCTGAAAACATCCCTGACCTGAATCTCGTGGGAGAGCAGCTGCCCTGCAAATGGATAGAAATCCAACCCATTATTAATCAAATGCTATTCTAGTTGCATGCGTTTAGAAAAGATCATTACAACATGTAATGGTCAGGAAAAAGAAAAGAACAAAAGTTCAGCATTCAAGAACATAGTATTGGAGCAAAGTTGAATATGATTAAGCACATGAATAACATAATGATTACGAAGTAATATCATTCAGAATCTTTTAACTTCGTTTATGGACATGTGCTAGGCATGAAAACATAATTATCAATTTCTTTATTGACGAAGACAAAGAAAAATGCAAAAAGGAGGGGCAAAAAACGTTGATCCTTTTTTTTTTTTTGGTGTACAGTGAAGGGTGGAAACACCACATACATCCTGACCCAATAATCTTTTGAGATTAGTTAACCCGGGAGCGAGACACCTTCCCATTTTAGCTAAAATGGTCCACACACCACGCTATAGAAATTGATCTCAATTAGCATTACTTACCATTTTCTTCCAGATAAAATGCTATTAACACAAATGCACATTTTTAATTTACCGACTTTAGATTCTCAAACGTACAAGCTCAGACCAACCAGCCAGTAAAAGTCTATGATCATGTTCATCCAACTGCCGCCACCCAGCTTTAACTATAAGGAGTTGAATTTTACAAGAGATTATAATTGATCATCTGAACATATCATGGTGGAAAATGCAAGTGAACATCAAAATATTAAAGCTCCAGGAAAAACTATATGACATTATCTATCCCAAAAGTTACCGAGTATCATAAAAGAAAACGGACAAAAGAACTTGCTTTATAAATGAAGGGACAATCTTCTAACTAGAAAGGCTTACAGATAATTGGCATGTTGGATGTCAGCTTCAAGGGCTTTGATGGAATCTCCGAAAGAAGATTTCTGAGGCTTATTTTGCCACATTCCACTTGATCCTAACCTTTTGAGCTTTTTGATGGGGAAAAAAAAAGAAAAAGAAGAAGAAGAAGAAGAAGAAGAGAACCAAAATACTACCAAAAAAAGGAGCTTTTTCTGAAGAGCCTTTTATAAAGAGCCCACAAAAGGTTTGCTGCTTAGTTGCGTAACCTTTTCTTCTCCAAGAAAAGGAAAGGATATATTCTATTCTAAGTTGCGTCTCCAACGTTGCCTTGGTTTGCTGCTTCTTCAGTTACTCTCGGATGCTAATTGTGCTTTCGGCAGTGCAATTATTCCTTGTTTCCAAGCCTGATTTTTCTTGCAATTTTGATCATCTTAAGATTTTGCGGTGGTAAATCATGGTTCTTGCTAATGCGGACTAAATTAATGGCTTGGTTGTGGTAATAATGTGGTCAAAGACAATCCCACATGATTCTAAAACCAAAATACAAAATAAATTCGATGAATAAGAAAAGGTCAAGGGGTTCTTGATTTCGTATGCCGTTCAACTAGACCTTATATAGATCAGACAATCATATTGGGGGAGCTCCGCATTTGAAATTCTCTTATATCATCAAATTCTACTGCAAGTCCCAGGTCAAGTTTTATTATGGAGTTAAAAAAAAACACGTTGAAGGCTTAATGCCTATAATCTACAACGATACAACCACAATATTAATTCACCCCTTAACCAAGGAACTAGATATATACTTTTAAGTAAAGTTTCGAGTTCCAAATAATGTTGGGAGGGTCATCCCCTTAAACAGCGTATGACTCCGGATTAACGGGGGATTCAATGCGGACATAGAGGTTTACAAAACAAAACAGAAAAGAGATACAATTGCAATATTAATCAATCTGCTGGTACATCTTATCGTGCTTTTTAGTTGGTTCTGCTCAAGTGTAGTGCTTTCTCGTTTGGAACCTTTATAGCTAGTTTGGGAGGAAGGAAATGAATAGAAAAGAAAGGTTTTGAAAGGGTAATAAACTTTTTCCATCGTTTGAAAGCAAAAATGAGAAGTAAAAGAAAAGATTTGGAAAGATTTCACTTCTCCATGTGTCTCGAAAAACTTTCTGTCCAAAGTTGGGCGGGGAAGGAAGGAAGACACGGAGCTTCAAGTGAATTTTTTAATATAACAATATTGCCCTTAAAATCATGATACAAAAAAATTTAATTTCTAATTAATGAGTCTCTCATTACTTAATTCACATTTGTTTACAAAAAGGGCAAATTTGTAAAGTAACTTATTTGAGTATCTTTTCTTTTCATTGTCTTCAACTCTCAAACAAAAAATATCACTTATGACCTTTTCTTTCTTAAAGCTCCCAACAACTTAGATAGAAACTTAATCCTTTCCCATTCTTTTTCTCTTTTCTAACTTCACCTTTGTTTCTTTTCTTTTCTATTCTAAACTCCCAAACTACCTATACTCTCCATTGGTTCACTTCTTGACGTAGGTAGTGCAACAGGCCCATTTGCCGTGCGATAATGGTGGATATTGTTAAGCCTTTTAATCTTTCTGTGGGCAGGCCACGTTTGATAAAAGAGATGGAATTGTGGTGGACGTTGTTAGGCCCTTTATTCTTTCTATGGGCCAAACAGGTTGCAGAAGGCACCGGGCTCAGATTCGAATTGATACTCAATTACTGTCAATTTTAATCCGTCTCCTAATCCATTCGAACATTTTCTTAATGCTAGAACAACCTTTTCTTTGACAATTTACCGCATTGCACCCTGAAAATCCTTGGGCCCTGTATAATTCTACCATGAAATTCTTCCACGGCTTAGGAATTGTCATCTGATCCTTTTGATAAGAAAACAAACGCTAATAAAACACATTCTAGTTGTATTTTTATGATGTAGACATTGAACGCACGATAGAATCCACATTGTTCTGATGGAGTTGGGATCCAATTGGCAATCACGAATCCCACATTATTGTTCCTAAACAGGAGGGGCAGCATCTCGCTCTTCCTAAATCCTAACCCTACAAAGGTTGAAGACAAGTTGGGTCTAAAGTGACAAGAAAAGAGATTTTGTTGTCATCGAAAAGCAAAAGGATAAAGCAAGAAGTTTTCTTTTCCTTGCTTTTGAGATTCTCTGCATGCCTTGCCTTGGAGTTACTTTCCTTTTTCCAGATATAATAATAGCAAAATAATCAATTGGACCTACTTTCTTTTACCCAGATATAATAACAAAATACTCCAATCAAAAAGTACAGTTCTATAATTCTGCCAAACGCAGTAATGACCTGCTACCCCCCACATGCAAAGACCGAGCAGTAGAATAATTCACATGCATCGTCCAATACATAGATAGAAGTGAACAGCCGCTTGTCAGGACCCACTGATGGTTGGTTTGTCAAATTTATGTCCTCGTTGCCATTCACACTCAACCCAGGCAAAGGAAACACAAAGAAATGAAGGATATTTTCTTGCTTTCATGCTTTATGGTGGGACTTGGACACTAATAATCTAAGCTTCTTTTCCAAAGCAAGAAAAGGTGAGCGAGCTTTAAAATGAAGCTAGAATTCTTTTCCTAGGGAAAAAGCAGACATCTCAAATCAAACAGAACATCCGAACGTGGCTCAACATTGCCCAAGCTCACTAATCAGAAATGATTAAAAAAAAAAAAGAAAATTTTATGCTGAAGTGAAGTAAAATTTTGGGTAAAGCGAGTTTATGCTGAAGTAAGTAGACAGTAGTGTCTTTCTTGGATACACAAGCAGCACTAAGTGCTAAATGCTTCCAGCAGTCAGTAGTCTCTCTTCTTCTTGATCTTCAATGGGATCTGCTTCACAATTCATTCTTTTCTTTGTTTGCTTAACTCCAGCAATCGTGTGCCAGGTTACAGGTATGCCCTCCTTTGCGTCTATATATTACTCAGATTAATTTTATACGTGATATGTCTCGGAGAATGAATCCCAGAAATATAAGTTACTCCATTTGTAATAAAAAAGTAGCATCATACTACGTAGATAGATTCGAGAACAAGACTTTATCAGATAAAGAAATAAGGATTCTAGGAAGCTTAACTTATCGATTAGCAAATTCAACATGCAGAATTCATTAGTATAGATTGTGGAGGCGACAAAAGTTTCACTGATCCCAGTACAGGCTTAGTATGGAACTCGGATACTGGAATTATGGCTCATGGAAAATCGGTGGAAGTGAAAAACACAAATGGAAACCCGCTCCAGTACAGCACAAGGAGAGAGTTTCCTATAGACAACAAGAAGTATTGCTACACTTTAAAAACTGAAGAAAGAAGGCGATATATTGTTCGAGCAACATTTCTGTATGGCAGCTCTGAAACTGAGGAACCATACCCCAAATTTCAGCTTTTCTTGGATGCGACAAAGTGGTCAACTGTATCAGTGGCTGACGACTCTCGAGTATATGTTAAGGAAATGATCGTACGGGCACCTTCGTATTCCATTGATGTATGCTTGTGCTGTGCAACCACGGGATTTCCATTCATCTCCACTATTGAGCTGAGGCCGCTGAATCTATCGATGTATGCCACAGACTATGAAGATGATTTCTACTTAAAAGTGGCAGCAAGAGTCAATTTTGGGGCTTTGAGCAAGGATGACATAAGGTAAGCATTCTCTGCTGTTAGCATGCATACCTTTTCAGCTTTCAGGATTCGAGAGAATTGGATAGGATAGGTACCTGAACTAGAACTAGTCCTTCATTTCTGGCTAAATTCCGGATGACAGCAGATGTATGATTGTCTCAGGTATCCAGATGATCCTTATGACCGCATATGGGAATCTGATCTGGCAAAGAGGCAAAACTATCTCGTAGGGGTAGCTCCTGGCACAGAAAGAATCAGCACGGCGAAGTACGTTGACACCAACACAAGGGAATACCCGCCTGTAAAAGTGATGCAAACTGCAGTTGTTGGCACAATGGGGAGGCTTAGTTACAGATTAAATCTAGAAGATTTCCCAGCTAACGCCCGAGCTTACGCCTATTTTGCTGAAATCCAAGACTTGGCAGAAAATGAAACTCGAAAATTTCGAATGGAGCAACCTTATACTGATTACAGTAATGCAATTGTGAATATAGCAGAAAATGCAAATGGCAGTTACACGCTTTACGAGCCAAGTTACATGAATGTCACACTGGATTTTGTGTTGTCATTCTCCTTTGTTGAAACCAGGGATTCCTCTCGGGGACCACTACTTAATGCCATCGAAATAAGCAGATATGTACAGATAGCTGCAAAGACGGATGACAAAGATGGTAAGATTGCAGTCGCTCCAGTTATAAATTTGTATAGTTTTAGATTGCTTTGTACCTACAAGTTTCATTGTTACTCAATTCAACTCATGACTTTGTTGCTTTATGATGGAAGTGAGCACTCTCAACGTCATTCGATCAATGTCCACAGAAAGTGATTGGACAGATGAACAAGGCGATCCTTGTATTCCAACGCCATGGGAATGGGTGAATTGCAGTGATACTGTACCACCAAGAATTACAATAATGTGAGTCCACTGAACTTGGGGGAAGATATCTTCTTAGTTTAGTTAAAACAATTCTCTGGAAAAACAAAATCCAGGATCATAACTCATTACATTCTGGAAAAAAACACAGACTAGATTTTAATGCAAACAATAAGAAGGATATCTAAGCACAATAAGTTCAACGCAACCCCAATGGACTTTCTTAGATTGGATAATGATTTGCCTAGTTATCAGCTCAAGTCTCAGCGTTCAAAAGTTTATAAGCATATCCAAATCACTGGTGAAACCCAGATCTAAAACTCAATAATAAGGCTCGATGAAATACAGGACAGGAAATTTTTGTAGGCAGTATGGGCATTTCTTTTGATATTTGACTCCATTAATATTCAAAAAAACATACTGGTTTGTATTCGTGAATGAATGCATGTGATGCAGGATCTTATGTAACTCATCTTCTGAACAGCTTCCTTTCAGGTAAGAATGTTAAAGGTGAAATTCCGTCAGACCTCAAGAACATGGAAGGCCTGACAGAGTTGTAAGTATAACAAAAACACTTAACTTAGTATCTGCTTGTACTTCAGTTAAAATGGTTTCTTTTTTACTCCTGAAGATGGCTGGATGGCAACTTTTTCACTGGTCCTATCCCTGATCTGAGTAACCTTGTCAATCTTAAAATTCTGTAAGCTCAACGCTGCCTCTCTCATTGACCAGTATTTAAAAAACAGTGTTTAATCCCAACCATGCATGACCACCATCGCCTTTTGGACAATATTTGCAGGCATCTTGAGAACAACAAGCTGACAGGTCCAGTACCTTCTTATATTGGAAGTTTGCCAAGTTTGAAAGAAATGTAGGTCGTGATATGGATAACTTTATTTTTACTGTCTCCAATTATGCAACATAAGCGTATTAACATCTAGTATAGAGGATCCATAGACTTTCTTTAAATA